TAAAACGAGTCACTGACTGATTCTCCGTCTTCCTCTCTTCCTCCAGTCTCCATCTTCCCTCCGTCCGCTCTCATGATGGGGGCCGAAGCGAGCCCCGCAGAGCCGACGCCGCTCTGCCTCACCAAGCACTCCCCGGCCGACCAGCAGACGCACGCCGAGCTGCCGTCCAGCACCATGCTGGGCCGACCCCAGAGCCCGGCGAGCGCGCCCGAGGAGAGGTCGGGGGTCAGGAGGAGGGCTCCGGGCGGCTCCCCGTACATCAGGTCCAAAATCAAGGTGAGGAAACGGGCAGGGCCGACGCGAGACGCTGTTGGATCAAGTTGAAACTCCTGTTGAGCTTAAAGAAAAGTCAAACGCTAACTCAGAATTTGCCAAATCATCAGTAATCTTTATTTTTGTTCCTCTCTCTCTCCTCAGGTAACTACAGGGGAGCTGCCAACCGTTCCCTCGCCCCTTCCTCTCTCTCTTCCTCCCATCCCCTCCCCTCCATTAGAAGCACCACACACCACCATGATCCCAGTCGCCTTGAAAATGGCCCCTGCCCCCCAGGAAGCTGTCTCCATGGTGACCAGATCAACAGGTCAAAGTCAGAGATCGTCGTCGCCTGTGATGAACGGCGTGTTTGTGTGCCAGGTACGCCGACGACACTGTCACAATATGAAGTTAAATCATCTGACAAATACTTTTTTATGTTTATTAAATGATTTTACGATGTAATGTGGCCAAACCGGGTTTAAAGACAACAGTTTCTAAGTTGCCTTTGGAAGTATTTTAAAGTCTTTCTCTGTGATTTTTCACACTTAAATGTAGAAATCAAGTATCTCCTCTGAAAATAACTCTGTGAGTCATGACTGTCTACAATGGGTGTAACACCCGAGTCCCACTGTCTCTGATGTTTTCAGAGTTTTCAGAGTCCTATCTTCAGTTTGTTTACATCGCCGGGACGGCCGGCTGACTCCTCCCCTCGTGTATAAAAGTTGTTTAATTGAGGGACTAGAGAAAAGAAGAATAACATACTGTACTCACTGCTTAACTGTGTTTCTAGATCACGCTCATTTCAGGTAAATTTACATACAGTGTGAAGATACCAGCATAATAAAGATCGCTAGCATTAGCATGCTAACACAACAATGCAGGCCAAGTTGTTTTGGTTTCATGCTGGTGCTCAAGGGCGACATCTGCTGGATCAAAAAAATCACGTATAAAGCCTTTACACATTTTAACGTTGTGTTGTTGCTTGCCTGTAGGTTTGTCAGAAGACCTTCCAGTACCAGCGGATGTTGAACAGACACATCAAGTGTCACAACGAGTCCAAGAAACACCTGTGCAGCTTCTGCGGCAAAGGCTTCAACGACACGTTTGACCTCAAGAGACACGTACGCACACATACAGGTACGCTACCCGCCCTCATCATGACATACTTTGTTGTTATTAACAGAATTGTAAGAGGCGGCGTGACAATGTTTCTATATTTTTTTGGTTACAGGCGTCCGTCCGTACAAGTGCACCCTCTGCGACAAGGCGTTCACCCAGCGCTGCTCCCTGGAGTCGCACATGAAGAAGATCCACAACTACACCCTGAAGTACGCCTACAAGGAGCGGCGCAACAAGCTGTACGTGTGCGAGGAGTGCGGCCACACGGCGGGGACGCAGGACGACCTGCTCGTCCACCTGCACGCGCTCCACCCCAACAGCCGCCTGCTGAAGGGGAAGGGTGGGAGGAAGACGGGGGGAGGAGGAGGAGGAGGAGGAGGGAGAGAGGGAGGGTCGACGCCCGGGTCACCGCAGGAGGCCGATAGCGATGATACATCCGGATCAGGAGAACAGTGAAGGAAATAAGAAACTCAGGGAGGGGATGGATGTGTTTACTGACGGACTTAAAGATGGATTGTAAATGTGTGTGTGTATTTGTGAATAGCATACGTGTGTGTGTGTGTGTGGATTTGGGTGTTTGTATATAACAGTCTACAATTTTCAATGAAACAAAACCAAGTTTGACTTTAGCTAATATATATATATAAAGTGTATATTTGAACGGGGTTGTGATGCGGATGAACTCATTTACATGTCTGGTGTTTTCTGCTTCATTTTGGCTGCATGTGAATAGTTTTTGTGGGTTTTTCTGTACAGGAAAAAAAACTTGTTTTTGTATGAAAAAAAGTGTTTTTTTCATTAAAGGGAGTAATATATATTACAAAACAAACGTGGCCTTCGTTGTATGCTTAATTCAATTCAATTTATTTTGTATAGCGTCAACTCATAACAAGTGTTATCTCAAGACACTTTACAAAAAGCAGGTAAAAGACCTTCCTCATTGTTATGTTACAAAAAGCAGGTAAAAGACCTTACTCATTGTTATGTTACAAAAAGCAGGTAAAAGACCTTACTCATTGTTATGTTACAAAAAGCAGGTAAAAGACCTTACTCATTGTTGTGTTACAAAAAGCAGGTAAAAGACCTTACTCATTGTTGTGTTACAAAAAGCAGGTAAAAGACCTTACTCATTGTTATGTTACAAAGATCCAGCCTATCCATCATGAGCACTTTAGCAAAGCAGCAAAAGTTACAGTGGTAAGAAAAAACTGTCTTATTAAAAGGCAGAAATCTTCGGCTGGATCCCCGGCTCATGACGAAACAGCCTTCACAGGCCTAGACTGCACCGGGGTTGGAAAGGGATAGGGGGAGAGATGGGATAAAATGCAGGAAGAGGGATAGGGAGCAAGGGGGTGGGGGGAGGCAGACCGTCCATCAACAATCCGGTGCTTAAGACTCACACAGATTGATGGTGTTAGTGATGCCTCTCTACAAGCTGAAAAAGAAGCAAACAGGACAAAGACTTTTTCTATAGTTATTAAAACTGCTGAAACTTAAGGTGAAGGGTCTTGCCCAAGGAGGACACAATGTCATGTGGCTGCAGGAGCTGGGGATCGAACTCCTGACCGTCCGGTTGAGAGACGACCGATTCTACCAACTGATCCACAGCCCCAATGGCAGAAATCAAAATGATGTTGGGTGGTGGCGGGTGGAGGGATGAATGGATAAAGGTAAGGGTAAAGGAATGAGGGTACAGGTCGAGTGATAAAGGGATGGGTATAAGGGTGGAGTGATGAAGGAATCGGGGTAAGGGTTGAGGGACGAATGGATGAAGGTACGGGTCAAGACATGAAGGGATGAGGGAAAGGGTGGAGTGATGAAAGGAGGGGGGTACGGGTCAAGGAATGAACGGATAAGGTTAAGGATGGAGGATGAAGGAATGGCTACAGGACGAAGGATGGAGTTACGATGGTCAGAGCTGAGAGCTTCATAATTCTGGTGCAGAAAGCTATCAAGTAAACTTCTATGGAGGCATATGAACGGTAAACTAACATTTGAACATGTAGCCCCGCCCTCTCATTTGCATATACGTCCTTACATTAACGCCATCAGCGATTACAAATGCATGAATGTGCATAGACTGAAGAATGGACTTGTTATACATTAGATAAAATACATGTAGGTACAGTTAAGTTCTAAAACTGGGATACTTTGAGAACTTTCTTCAAATCAGCAATTTATGATTTATTACGAAAACAATTTTAAAAGATGCTTAAATAAGTGGGCGTGTTTAATAAACGGTTTTGGAGCATTGCTACAATGAAAGACAAAGTTGCAACAGGACAAAGTGGATTCTTGGTTTGACTATCTGCAGACGTGTTTATGCAAATTTGTGGTCACCGTTTACTTCAACAGGTCGTTTTGCAGCGTTGAACGTGTCTTCATTTTAATTGAAATACAAACATGTACTAAGGGTTTAAAAACCTAATTTCAGTGCGCTTAAGTTGCACCTATTAAGCAACTTTTCTCCCGCTCAGCTCCTGACTCTGTGTTTGTGAGACACAGAGGGGTGGTGTGTTCAGGAGGGTGAGGTTAGATTCCTGGTCTCTGTCAGGTCTTGTTGGAGGATTCTTGCTAACTCTCCCGCTGCCTGAGGACACATGGAGGCGGACTCGATAACCACCAGATAACGGTCGGGAAAGTTAACAAGACACAGAGCTGTTGTGTCTTTTACACCAATGGATATTATTATATAACTATCTGATACACCAGGATATCTTCAAAGCTTTATTTCAACACTTTGGGGTTGCACATTGGCTTTCGGGTTGTGTATGTTAATTTCTGTTACTTGTAATGTCTCTAAACTAACAATTATAACCTCTAAACTTTAATCTCTTAATTTTAGTGACAAAAAACAAACACATTTTGCCTCCTGGTAAAATTCTTGGAGTACAGGGAATTAGAAGTTTAATATTTCCCAATCATATGTATACAGTGTTTCATAAATGTAAAGTAAAAGTCCCTCAAAATTATACTAAAGTACGGAAGCCCTAGAAGGACATTCAGCCCTACTTTTTGTTCTACTCTATCTCTAAGAATCTTATTTCAGGGGTTAATATAATTTATCATCTTGACATGTGTTTCTTTTGCTTCGTACTGTTAAGACTTTCAGGAGTGTCCTCTTTTTTTGTGTCTCTCCATTAGTGCATGTCTATAGGATGCTGTTTGTGTATGTGTGTGTATTTCGGCCTATGTTTGTGTAGCATGTTTAGTAAACAGAGTGTAAAAACGAATTTCCCCTTGCAGGATCAATAAAGTATAAAGTATAAATTATTATTATCATTATTATTATTATTATTATATTATATTATTTGTATTTATATTATTCAATTATTATTATTCAATTATTATTATTATTATTATTATTATTATTATTAATAATAATAATAAATTATTATGATTATATTATTATTATTAATAAATTATGATTATATTATTATTATTATTATATTATTTGTATTTATATTATTCAATTATTATTATTATTTATTATTAATAATAATAATAATAATTATTATGATTATATTATTATTTATTAATAAATTATTATTATTTTAATAGATTTGTTTTTCGCCGGTAGAGGGCGCTCTTTTACATGTTACCCCCTTGTCCCGCCCCTTTCTGGC